CTCCCACTGGCCCCTGGGCCATCTGAAATGGGCTGTGCCGTGTAGCCTGGGGACCCGAGCAGGGCTCAGGAGAACAGCTTCCATCGTGGGCCACCTCTGAGGCTGGTGGCCCTTCAGGGGCAGATGCTTGGGCCAGTGTTGGTGTTGAGGGGACAGTGATGGGAAGCACACACCAGCCCGGCAGGTGCAGTGAGGCCGCCTCACAGGACACAGCTCCGCAGGCAAGGCAGCAGGCCTGCTCTGGGGTCTCGGGAGCTTCAGAGCAAGCCTGAGGCAGGTTGCTCCCCTGAGGGCTCCTGGTATGTGACAGAAGGACCAGAAAGATCTACTCCCTCCCTGACGTGAGCCCAGACCCAGAAGTAGGAGACCAACCAGCTGTCCAGGCAATGCAGCAGGAGGCTGGGCGAGGGGAAAGCAGAGCCCCGTCCACAGGCTCTGTCTGAGTGTGATGGCCACGGGCCCCCAGGCTGCACAGCAGAGGCCATCCCAGGTGCATCCACGGGGCCCCTGCCCTCCTCCAGCCTGAGTGGGCCTCCAGGATGCGCCCTCCCAGCCCACCTCTCTACCTCGTCCCCAAGCATCCTCCAAGCCATTGTCTCATGATGAACAGCACTTTAATGTGGGTATTAAAAATACAGGCAAATGTTTAATGCTCGCAAGCTGTGTTCCATTATGGATGCTATGCTTGAGAGCCAGGCAGGCAGCTCCAGCCAGGCTGGGGCTCAGCCGAGAAGTGATGACACGGCAACTCTGCGAGCAGCCATCTGCCAGGCCCTGGCGGGTGAGGATGGCACTGAGAAGGCAGTGAGGTGGAAGGAACCCGGGCTCTGGAAGTCGGCCCTCCTGGTCTGGACCCTCCCGTCCTCCCATCAGTTCTGTGACTGGAGGTGTGGGTCCTCTCTGCTTGGGGATGATGGTTGTACCCCCTGCCCGGAGTCGGGTGAGCTCTCAGCAGAATGTTGCCGGAGGACCCCGGGGGGCAGACGATGGAGACCCCGAGGCCACCATGCAGGCCATGTCACGGGCTCAGGGCCAAAGTGCAAATAGGGCCCCCTTCCACCCTCACCCCCACCTTGCTTGACTCGGGGAGGAATTGTCCGGGGCAGGTATTAAGAGCTCCCCAGGATGCGGCCCCGCACACCTGCCCAGACTCACCTGCCCCTCTCCCCTCAGCCACCCGGGGCAGGTGAGCCTTGGATGAGCACCGGCTTTCCTGTCACCCCTCCCGCGTCCCGAGCACCCTGTAGCACCCTCAGCATGGGGCCAGGCGTGCGGCGAAGGCTCCCTGGGACCTTACTAGCGCTTTACTGCTCTGCCTTCTAGAGGCTTTGTGACGCAGCAGCCTGGGCGACGTTTCCCTTCTCTCCACACCTTGGCTGACCCTGCGGTGACCCAGTACGGTCTGGCTAAGTGGTTGAGGTGAGGCAAGATGCACACCGCCTCCACCTCCCTGCCTTGGGCCCTGAGTGGGGGGTGCCCAGAGCGGCCCCTCCAGGCTGTGCCCAGCAGCCCCTTGTGGGAGGGAAGGTGAGCCCACCAGGGCAGGTATAGTGGCGAACACGCGGGGCCCAGCTGGGCCACAGGCTAGGAGCGACTGCACCCTGCTGCTGCTCTTCTCTGTGGCACCTCTTCCTGGCCTCTCTCCCCTTCCACCCTGTGGGGGTTTAATGAGCAGTGCTGGGGAGACTCCTTGGTGCAGCATAGACTCCCAGCCACCCTGGCAGCCGGGCCTAGGAGCCTTCTGGGCTGCTCCGGCCTCCTGGGTTACCCTGGGCAAGGCGGCCAGGCCAGGGGTGATAAGGGTGAAAACGACCCATCAGGGAAGCTGCTCTCTGCAGACCAGGGTGTGCACAGTGTGCAGGGGCCTGCCAGGATGACGGGGGCGGGAGGCGGGGGTGCCAGCGCAGGGCACAGGAATTGCTCCAGGCCTGTCCGTGGAACCTGTGGTGGAGGTGAGCATGGCTCTGTGTGCAGTGGTGCTCGCTGGGGATTGCCAAGCAGCTGCTGAGTACCAGGCCCACCTCTGGGTGTGCAGGCCACAGGGTCACTGGCAAGGCCCTGACCCTCACAGCTCATCTTCTGGTGGGAGCGATAGCCAGGACCCCAGACACAAGTCCATCAACCAGGTGATTGGGGTAGTGACAAATTGTTGCAAAGAAACAGGACTTCCCTTAGAAAGGGTTGGTGGGAGGAGGGTGAGCTCCAGACAGAGGCCTGGTCCAAGGCCTCATCGGCCCAAGTGAGTCGGCCACTTGCCAGTTCCTGGGCAGAGCTTTCCAGGCTGGGACAGAGGTCAGGAACCAGAGGAAAGCATGAGAGGCCATCTCGTTATGAGTGAAGGAGGAATCATGAGAGCTGAAGTTGGGGAGAACTGACCAGAAAGTACAAGATCCTGGAAGCCATGGTGAGAAGCTGGGTTTTGTTTAGATCCAGTTGGAAGCCGCTGGGGAGTAACATGCTCTGATAAGCACTTTGTAAGGATTGCCCCAGTTGGTTCATGGAGGGTGAATTGTAGGGGCTGAGAGAAACAGGGAGCCAGACTAGGAGACGGCCAGGCAAGAGGGGGCTGGTGCCTGCCCCGGGGTGGGGGTGGCTAAGCCAGGGCCAGGAGGGGGCAGGATGGGCTGAAGGCAGAGCTCCAGGCTCACTGGTACAGCAAATCAGGGGTGACCCCTGGGTTTGGGCTGGAGCAGCCTGGGGGCAGTGACACCATTTCCTGAGATGGGGAAGGCGGGGGTCATGCTGTGGCCCTGCCAAGTGTGAAGTGCCTATTGTGCAGAGACACTTTGAAAATACCCATGGGGCCAGAGAGAGCACAGGAGGGCTACTGCACCCCAGAGGAGAGGAGCCATCACCAAGGCGACAGGAAGACCAGGACGTAGTGTCCCTGGTAGCTGGAGAAGTTTCCAGAAAACTGCCGTCTCTGACCTTCTGCAGGGCCATTGGTATTCCCGGGTTGTGAACACCAGGAGGCCTAGCAGGCACCTGTCCTCAGCACCACCACCCCTGCCTGTCCCTCCACACTCTCACCAGAGACCCTTACGTGGGCGCGCCACCCCGCCCTCTGGCTGCTTCAGGTCCCCAGGGCCCATAGACCCTGGAGAGCGCTGCCTGGCAGCAGCCTCAGCTGTTGGCCTCTGTCATGGAGATGGCAGCAGCTGCAGGCGACGAGCATTTGTGACCATTTGTCAGAATGCTCCCCTTCCTCCCCAGCCTGGCCTTCTGGAGCATTGCTGTCCCACGGCCCTGGAGACAGGGCTCATCTAGGGGTGGGAGGGCCGGAGGGGGACAGGAAGTGCTGTCTGTGCTCTGCAGAAAGGCCAGGCTTCCTCCTGTCGGCTGGCTATCATTCCCACCATGGTGCCAACAGGATGCCCCACCTGGGGTCCCATCTGCCATACACTGTGCATCCCACACATGTTGTCACTGGTCTTGGGGGCTGGTCTCCCAGGAGCCCTTTTTCTGTGGGCACATAGTCCCCTGATGAGGAGGTGAAGAACTGGCTGCACAGAGAAGGTGAGCCACACAGCTGGTGGGAGCACAAGGCCCAGGGGCCTTTGCCCACCCCCCAGCACAGCAGGCGAGCAGGGAGCCTCCTGGGCGGTGGGGGAGCCCTCGCCACACCACCCTCCAGCCCCGTCCTCCCAACAGTCTTGTTTCCATTCCTCTGGTGGGTTCTTGCCCAAATCTACTAGTTCCAGCTGAGCCTGCGCTGGAGACGGCCTGCCCACTGTTTGCGCTTCGTGGTTTGGCCTCTCTGTTACCATATGCTCTGGGATTTCCCCGGAGCCAGGGGTAGGGAAGAATTTTCTGCAGTCTGGCCCCAAGGCATGGCTGGTATTCGGCGGGAAGCAGGAAACCAGACCCTGATAAATGCTGAGTTTAGTTCAAGTTCAGTGACCTCTGATGGACACGTTTCAGGCACACTGGCTTCCAGTGTGGTTCGTGCTATTCAGCACATGGGGCCTGGTCTGTGGGGTGTTCCCTGGGGCAGAGACTAGGAGTCAGACAGAGACATCAGCCCAGACAGGAGACGGGGCAGGGTGTCATGCTGACAGTCCAGAGCCCGGAGCCAGCCGCCCGCTCCTTGCCAGCCACTTGCTGCGCCTCGGTTTCTCTTCTTGGTTGGTATGACCTTGGGATCACTGACTCCTGAGGAAAGGGTGTGCTTGTTGCCTCCAGGCCAGGCCTCCAGGGGCATGGTGGCAGACCGAAAGTCAACAGGCTTCCACGCCTGACCTCGAGACCTGCCTGTCACTGCTGATGTCACCTTGGACCCTGGAAAAACTGCTTTTCTCCATTCTCTGGGTTCCCTGTTTTCCTTTTTATAAAGTAGAGAGTCCTTTCCCCAAAGCCCAAGCCTCATTCCCCCAAGACTCTTGGGGTAAGAGAAATGCCCCAACTAGGCCCATGGCCTTGGGCAAGTCACTTTGCCTCCCTGTGGCAGCATTTATCTGAACAGTGAACAGGGTCGTCACAGGGTCATTCACCCCCTGCCACCTGCAGACGCACTCCAGGCTGGGGTGGGCAGCCCGAACAGCACAAGCTCCTGCTGCCGGGGGAAGGGCAGGGCACTCCCCAGGTGACCAGTGTGTGTGTTACGTGTCACATGAAGGTAATCTCTCTCCAGGAGAGGAAAGCCAGGAAGAGGTGGGGACGTGTACCTTGGCCCACGTGGGGCGGGTGGGCAGCTTGGTGGTAACTCGGGGCTCCCGTGACAAGTTGGTGGCCAGAGGCCCACTGTGTCTCTCAGAATTCCATTTTCTGAACTGGGGCAAGGTGGGGGTATGAACGCAGCCGGTGGGGCTCCGGAGCTGCTGGCCCAGAGTGAGCATGGAGCCGGGCCACTGTGAATCCCGGTGTCCCCGCACAGGCCTCGGAGCCGGCGTCCCACACCAGGCCCAGTATGGACCTTGCTTCCTCAGGACGCATGGCCAGGGAGTGGGCTTCTGAGTTGAGGCTCTGGTCTCCGTAACCCTTGTTTTGTGCCTGTCCTCCAGGCAGCTCTGCCTCCTACTGAATGCGGAGAACATCTTCCACTCGATGGCCGACATCCTGCTGCGAGAGGAGGACCTCAAGTTTGCCTCGACCATGGTCCACACCCTCAACACCATCCTGCTCACCTCCACAGAGCTCTTCCAGCTGCGAAACCAGCTCAAGGACCTGAAGACACTGGTACTCCGTGCGCGCGCTTGGGCCCCGGGTTCAGGCCAGCATGCACACGGCACGCGCCGTGCCGGCCCACCCCTAGGCCCCAGGAGGTTTGCGGGGAGAAGATAGGATCAGTCCGAGAGCTCCCTGGTCTGGTGTTGAATACAGACACCCCTGGCTTGGCTTCTTGTCAGCGCCAGCTGTGGAGTGAGTCACAGCTGGGGGCCTTGTGGAGGCCCTGGGCTCTCCTCCCAGACCTGCCAACAGCAGTCTGTTTCTACACGCTGACACCCTACTCGCCCGCCCACACTGCCCCCACGTACCCAGGGTAGGTTGGGTTCTGGGAGTGCCTTGCGGGACCTGGCGGCATCGTGCCCACTGAGCCATACCACCCTGTCTGGGTCAGTCTTCTGGATTAGACGCTCCCAGACATGAGCGGTTATTGGTTCCTCACCCTCTTCCTTGGCCCTGGCCCCTCTCCCCATAGCCGACATACCTGTCTTGAAAGGGGCTCTGTCCTAAGCCAGGGTGTCACAGTGCTGCCTGGCCCAGGCTGTGGGTGGGGACCCACCGGGGCTGGGAGGTGCTCACCGTCCTCCTGGCCTGCTCCGGGGGCCATGGGTCAGATGCCCCACTCAGGCCAAGGGGTGGGAGGCTGAGCTGCATGTGCTTGCCGGTGGCTCCAGGGGTTTTGTTTCCCAATCGGGGTTGTGGTCACCACTGCCAAACCCCTTTCCCGGCTTAGACCCTGCCTCCACCCGCCTCAGGGAGTCTCAAGCCAGTGTCAGGGCATCTGGGGCCAAGCAGCCCAAGTGATCCAGGCCACACCCCTGCCTTCTTCCTGTGGTTCCTTCCAGACATTCGCAGAGGCCTTAAGAATTTTCCTCAGGGCAAGGATTCCCCCCGAGTGTGAGTTCAGCTCATGGGCCAATTCCCAAGTGCAAGGTGGGCTGCAGAGCTGGGGGCGGACGGCGGCTGAGGACGTGAGCAGGGTGCTGCTGGGGAGAGCCCAGGCGCTGAGGAGGCTTCCTCCCCGCCCGCACGCAAGCCCCCTCCGGTCATACCCCCAACCCCACCGACTCCAGGACCACAGGGTTCTGGAGAAGAGTTACTGGTGTTTGCCCAGGGTGGAAACACCGGTACAGAGAACAGGCGCGTGCCCCACCGCTGTCGCAGCCACCACCACGGGTTCTGTGGGACCCGGGGGGAATGACAAGGTCTGAGGAAGAGCTGTCAGCATTTCCTGGGTGACAGCTCGCCCCCAGCTGGGCCACCACACTGCCCCATGCTGAGCTGGCAGGGAGGGAGCAGGGGCCTCCGTGAACTGCTCACACCTCTCGTCCCCTCAGGAGAGCCAGAGCCTGTTCTGCTGCCTGTACCGCTCCTGGTGTCACAACCCAGTCACGACAGTGTCCCTCTGCTTCCTCACCCAGAACTACCGGCATGCCTATGACCTCATCCAGAAGTTGTATCCTTCACGTGCCCTCTTCTGCCAGCTGCTGAGGGGCAGGCAGGGGCCCAAGGCTCCCTTCCTGCCCAGGTGGTGGCCCAGCTGCCATGCTCCGTCCCTGTCCCTCCACTCTGCATCTGGGCCTCAGGGCATCAGAACCCATAAGGGCACGGTGTGGGGTGTACCTGAGAGGGTGCTGTTGACAGCAGAAGACAGGGTTATGTGGGGCCTCTGGAGGGGTGCTGCCTGGAGAAACCGCATGAGTTGGGGATCAGGACTGGGCAGACCCAGCCCAAGGGTGCTGGTGGTGCCGTGTAGAGGCAGATGCTCTGGGGAAGAGACAGGGTACACTCTGCTCGCTGCAGATGGTGCCACTGGGGGCTGGTGCTGGGGAGGGGGAGAGGGCCTGGGAGCCAGGGAGGCAGGCAGACCACAGCGGGAGGACGTAGGCGAGGCCCCGCGTGCTTGCAGCCCCGGGTCGGCGGGATTGCTGGTGAGGAGCTCAGAGACATTCCAGGGCCGGCATGCTCTGCCGGTGACATGGTGGGGAGAAGCGGCTTGAATAGGAGGCCCCAGGAAGAGGGAAGACCCCCAGCATGCCTCAGGGCCTGCCTCAGCAACAGGCATCCGGGTCAGATTTTGCTTAAAACGCTGAAGCCAACCAGCCTCCTCTGTGAATGTTGGGTGGGTGGCCCTGGATTGGAGAGCCACTTAGGACATGCAGTTCGTGTCCCTCGCTGAGGGGCCAGAAGTTAGGGATAAGAAAGAGTGGCCTGAGGGGCCACCCGCCAGGCAGCTGTGGCCCTGCCTTATAGCAGCGTGCCTGCTCTCCTTCCACAGCCTAGACTTCTGTCAGGCGCTGGTGTGACCCCAGATCCAGGCCGCAGGCTCGCCACAGCCCTGACCTTGGCCCTGCTGACAGATGTCCAGTCGGTCAGGAGCAGGCCCTGTGCTGCCCAGCCCACCCCCACAGGCCTCAGTGAGAGCCTTTCAGAGCCCAGGGAGCAGAGAGGAGAGAGCTGCCAGAGCAGAGGCCGAGTGCCCTGCCCATGCGGGGGACAGCCATGCTGCTTGTCATTCAGAGGGACAGGAAGGCAAAGGCGAGGAGACAACGTCCTTTGTATATCAGTCGCACTTCAGCAACAGCTGTGCCTGGGATGCCAGGGCCCGTGCAAGGAAGGTGTGCTCTGAGCCCCCAGGTCAGGCCCCTGGGCCCCAGCTCTCCGTGGCTCCACCCCCAGCCAGGGCCCCCACAGAGACAGGCCATCCTGGCCCAGTGGTCAGACTTTCCTTGACTGCACTCCCAGCGGGGACCTGGAGGTCACCGTGGATTTCCTCACAGAGGTGGACAAGCTGGTGCAGCTGATCGAGTGTCCCATCTTCACATGTAAGGGCCCTGCCGCTGGCCTTGGCTGGCCTGGAGTGCAGCGGGGTGGGACCAACTCAGAGCAACTCCTGGCTGCCTCTGGGGAGCGAGGGCAGCCGTCCCAGGGATGCCTCTGTAGTGTCCAGACTGTGAGACTGGGGGTGACAGGGTGAAGTGACCGGCTAGAGCAAGGTTTGGACAACATGGCATCAGAGCATATGCCTCAAGGTGGGCCTTGTGGACACGGGCTAGCACCAGTGGCCACACCCACCTGAAAGTCAGGCTCCCCCAGAGCTGTCCCTGCCCGCTCCTCCCATACGCTGCCCTCTATCCTGGCTCTTGGGAGCAGTGGGGCAGCCTGGGCCTTCCTGCAGGTGCTCCTGGGTGCCCAGGAGCCACGCCCTCCCCTCGCTGCAAAGCAGAGTTGGCATTTGCTGGGAACTGCCTGATTGTAACACCCAGGCAGAGTGTGCAAAAGCGGCAGCTGGCTGGGGTGGCCACAGCTCCTGGCGTCTCAACACACACAGTGCCTGCTCCCCAAAGCAAGCAGCTCTCTGAATGAAACGCGTGTGTCTAGTGTGGTAGGGAGACCGGGAGGCAGCCCTGCCAGTGACCACCTCCCTGCCACCCTGCTTGCCCAGGCCTCCTGCTGTCTGGCAGCACCTGTGACCCACCCAGGTCTCTACTGACAGCCAGCACCACAGTGCTGGAGGCCAGGGAGACACAGGAGCGGGACGGAGTCCATGTTTGCAGCAGAGTGGATCAAAGCCTGTCCCACACAGTCCCCTGGCCTGACATCTCACTACCATAAGGGCTTCCCAGGGCCTAGCTGCTCTTCCAGCATCAACCCAGACGCTGGCGAGGCTGCGGCTGGGTGACATGGCCGCTCCAGAAATTGTTTCCTCCTTCACAAAGGATGTGCCAGACTGGGCCTTAGAGAAACAAGAAACCATAAGTCAGTGATTCCTCTGAGGGTCTCAGAGGAGAGAAGCATGAGCCTGTTTAGTTGGGATGCGTGCTAGGCAGGACCAGGGGTGTCCTCTCATTTGGGGGGTGCGGTGACAGAGCTGGGATCTGAAGTGGATTTCCAAAAGCACCTACCAGAGACCTCTAGGCCTGGTGTGTGTTTAGCCACATGCAAAAAAATGTTCCCCCTTCCTACCCCCACCCCTTAAAGCTGCCCTAATCTGGTCTTTCTCTCCAACTCACCCTATTTATAGCTCTCTTGTGCTGGCACGTGCAGAGCAGACCAGGGAATCTGTTACACTACAAGCCACAAGCCCCCTCATTACCAGGGAGACAGCATCCGGGGAGAGGCCAGGCCCAGCCCAGGTTGGAGGTCACAGGCTGAGGTGACTGTTGGGGAGGTAGCAAGAAAGAACAATGAAATCAGAGTGGCCTAAGGCACTCCCAGAGGAGGGGCAGGTGGTCTGAGTGTGGTGGAGCCCCACTTCACTCTATCCCATGGCCGCCTGACTGGCCGTCTCCCAGCCAAGCTAAGGTGTAAGTCCAGGGCAGTGCCTGACCTGTGACCTCTGCCCTCTGCCCCACCACAGATCTGCGCCTGCAGCTACTGGACGTGAAGAACAACCCGTACCTGATCAAGGCCCTCTACGGCCTACTCATGCTGCTGCCCCAGAGCAGCGCCTTCCAGCTGCTCTCCCACCGGCTGCAGTGCGTGCCCAACCCCGAGCTGCTGCAGACCGAGTGAGTGCCAGCCTGGGGACAGCTGCCCTCCGCCTCCATGTCCTTTGCCTCTGTCACTGAGCAAATTTGGAGCCAGAGAGACCTGTCCCGAAAGGGATGTCTAAGGGGGCTGCCAAGGGCATCCCTTGCCTTAGCATCACCCCCTCTGCGACGGCAGACCCTGCCTTCCCCACAGCCACTGCCCGTGGGCCTCTCGTTTCCACAAAAGAGCCCCAGACTTGGAGTTCTGGGAATATTTACGTGGTGCCAGGTGGTGGCAATACCTTCTCTAAGCAATCAGGGTTGAGTTAATCTAAAAAATCAGAGAGCATGCGGTGTCACCCAGAAGTCCCTGGAGAGAAACTCCCGGAAGTGGAGTTTGTGACCCAGGTCAGAGATGGTGTCAGGTCACGTGACAGGCCTGAGCTGGATAGCGCTTCAGCCAGCCTGTGGCAGAGGCTTGACCCGGGGTCACTGAGAGATCCCAACATCGCAGTCACCTTGCTCAGGTTGTGCCTGCAGGAAGAAACAGGGCCCAGCATACCTCCGCCAAGAGGCCCAGCATGGCAGCAGAGCAGCCGCTCAGGGGAGGCCCAGCATGGCAGCAGAGCAGCCGCTCAGGGGGGTCCAGGCACCCACCCTGAACCCACTTCTGGCCCAGCCCCCGGAGCCTGTTGGGCCATGTCTATATTTGGTAACCCTTGGAGGCTTTGCCTCATCCGCAGGCATTTGGCATCCGAGATGGAAAATTTCACTTGTCAGGTCACCATGGAAACAAGCAGAGCCACTGAGAAGATTTACACTGAATGGAACACGCCCAGCTTGCATCAGATGCCCTGGGTGGCTAGAATTCCCTCCCAAGCTGTTAGAGCCACTCGGCGGGCCTGGCACCTCGCTCCTGAGAAGGGCCTTGGGTCTTTGCCCTTGGGACAGATGCAGGCAGCCTTGAGACAGGCCTGCTTGGCACTCTGGGTCCCTGACCCAAATGCCTGTGCCCTCTGTATCACTGGGTTTGTGCATCCACAACCCCTCCCTCCAGCCTGGCCTCTCAAGAGGCAAGGTGTGGGCCACCTGACAGGTTGTCTGCCCCAAGCCTGCTGGAAGGATTTGAGCGCCCCAAGTGTGGTCCCCAGGCCAACTCTCAGCTCCTGCCCAGCCTGCCCCTTTTCCCAGACAGCCATGCTCTGGAGTAGCAGGGGTAGGCACTGTCCCAGCTGCTCAGGGTGCCTCCCGGTTAATCTCAGGGAAGCAGGGAGCAGCCGTGGAGTTGGGTTTGCACTCGGAGGCCCTGACATCACACTGCCCCACTTGCCCGGCCTCTGCACTAGCGCCTCATGGTTTGCCCAGCAGGCACTTTGGAGGGGAGGAGGCAGGAAGGTCTGCTTCCCTGTGACCTGATTTCCCTCCGGGAACCAGCCTGCCTTCCTGAAGGAGACTGGGCCGGGCCACAGACCCTACATTGCCGAGAGCCACCCCCTCTCAGAACTCTGCAGCTACATCTTGTCTGGAGAGGCGAGGGGATGCTCAGAGCAATCAGACCCCTCCCTGCATGCCCCAAGCCAGGGGGAGCACATTTGCTGAGGTGAGCTCAGGGAAAAGGATCCCCTCAGGCTCTCCCACCGTCAGAGTCAAGGAAGCTTGGGCCAAGGGTTAAGGCCTCTGGATAGGGGATTCTGCCAGTCAGCGGATGGTTCACAGGTCTAGACTAGGATTCAGTCTGAACTCTGCAGAGGGTTTGCTTGCAACTCCAGGCGAGCACCCTGCCTCTTGGGCTCTTGGCTTCTTCGTTCATAGATGAGCATTTGGACTAAATGAATGCTTGAGACTCTGCCCACCCTTCAAGGCCCTGGGTCCCAGCCTTTTTTTGCAAGGACCTAGGAAGGGGCCTCAGGAACAGCTGGGATGGGTCGGATTGCAGGGCTGGGCACAGAGGGACAGCGCACGCCCTGAGGGGGCTGAGGAGGGTCTCAGCTCTGGGAGGGGCTGGCAGCTGGAAGACAGCGTCGAGTTGCCCGACAGGACTGCAAGCCAGGAACAGCTGGGCAAGTTTCTGTGCTCCTCGCCCATCCCTCCTCTGTGCTCAAGGCGCCGGCAGGGCTAGGGGACCCTGGCCCCCCTCAGGCTGCCCGGCCACTCCTCAGTGAGGCAGGAGGGAACCTCTGAAGGGAGAGCTGGTGACACGCATCAGCATTAGCCTGGTGACAGGTGCATGGTGGGGCAGCGGGAGAGAGAGCTCCCTTAGGGTTCTGGAGCCCTAGCTTTGTGCTGCTGGCCGGGATCCCCCAGTCACTCACTGCCTGAGCTGTGAACGTACAGAGAATGTGAAGGGCCTGAGCAGTGGCCATGCCCACTAGGATGGGCAGAGGGAGGAGCCCTGGCCTCTGCTCAGAGAAGACGCTCCCAGCCCCGTGGGACACCTCCCTCCCTGCTCCCTGAGACCTCAGGCGAGAAGGGTCTGCCCACAGGGAGGCCGAGTCATGGGGGCAGCACCTCTCGCCACCACGAGGGCCCGAGACAGGGTGCATTGCACTCTTTCCCCCTGCCCACTCTCACCCTAGCTACATCTATGCACATCACCCTTGCTTGCCACCCATCACTGGCATCCCCATGGAAACCCTAATCTCAGTGCCTCCTCTGGACCTAATGTCTCTGCTTGCCAGGAGTGTGGGGCAGAGCAGCATGTCAGAACAACATACTTGTCATCTGTGGCCTCACATTTCCAGGCCTGCACATCTCTCCCCAGTCCTAGCCTGTGCAGGTTGGGGTAGCATCTGGCCACCAGCTGGAGTTAGAGCTCCAAGGTCTAGGGTGTCCCTCAGACTCTCAGAAGCACAGATTGCTGTCCTGAGGAAGGGGCACCTGGACCACGAGGTTACTAGGGGCCCCCAGCTTGGTTGTCCCAGGGGGATTAAATGGAGCAGCCAGGGTCCGGAATGCCGACCACAGTCTGAGCCCCCAGAGCAGGCCCCACCTGGCCGCTTTGATCTTTGTTGGACTAATGTTGTCTGAGCCCCAGCTCAGGAGGCAGGACCTGAGGCTCAGGAAACAAGTAGCCACAGCCACCACCCAAGGTGTTTCAGGTGGTACATCTTCAGTAGGAAGGCACAAAGGGAACAGGCCAAGTAGGGGTTCAGGGGATCCACCTCCAGGCTCCAGGTGGCATCCTGACCGTGGGAAGGGTTCCCACTGTCCCTGGTTCTGCCCCAGCACCTGGTGGATGGTTAGAGGGGCCTGTCAGGTTCTGACCATTGGTCACCTATGCTTTACCAGGGACCAAGGGTTCTGCTTGGGTGAAGGACTGTTGTGTTTTCCTCAAAATGGACTGAGTAGCTGATGTAGGCCCTGGCTGGTCTCACCTCAGAGAGAGAGAGAGTTGTAGCCACTGCAGCTGCCTTTTGAATACCTAGGCTGGGGCTGGCCACCAAGCTGTGGTCTTATGTGTCAAGCCTGGAGGTCCCCTCAGGACCACCCTGTGGCATGGCTCCTGTAGCAACCACCCTCTACAGAGGAAAAAATAGCCATATATCCAAGGTCAAATGTCTAGGAAGGGGTTGTGTTACAGTTTGGTCCAGATCTGTTTAAATCCTGTGCTTAGCTGCTATCTGAACCCCCCATATTAGGGTCTCTTCATGAACTCAGGGCCCAGGGGTTCTCATTAACAGCCAGCAGCCTTCATGAGACTCCCTGCCAGATAACTTGGCTTGAGGGGCTAGATGAACTTCCCAGCCACACAGATGGGCTTCCCAAGCCAGTGAGTCTAAAATGAGGAAGCAGCAGACTCTTTTGTGAAACTACCAGAAGGATGGTCACAAATGGGACAGGGGACCAAGGGGATCTAGTCCCAGGGGCAAGCTAAACACCAGGCTTGAAGGGGACAGCAGGGCTACTACACTATACAACTATAGGGAGCTTTGGGCACATTGCAGTTGTGCAGTGCACAACCTGTGCTGCTGTGCACAGCATCTGGGAAGGCGATAGCAACAGGAGTTTAAGAGCCATCAGCATGACCAGTGGTGAAACCTGCTTTCCTTCCCTGGGGACTGGGAGTGACTGCAGGCCTCTGGGCCCCAACACTCAAAAATAGATGTTCTGCCAAGTTGAGGGCCCAGTAGCAACTCTTAAGCCATCCCTTTGTCCCTGGCCCTAGCCCTGCCCCAGACAAAGGGCCAGACTGCCTCCTCCCCCCTCCCTGGACCATGTTCAGGGCCCAGCTGGCTTCCTGGCTGGCTGCTAGCCCTGGCTTTCACCCCAAAGGGAGCCACTCATAAACAGGAAATGCTTCCCAATGCAATGCCTGCTCTGGGCCCCAGTGGCCAGCACACAGGCTGAAGGCCATATCCAAGCAGCAGTGGTGACCGGTCCCACCAACTGCGGGAAGGGCATGTTCACGGGCTCCCCAGCTCTTTGCGGCTGACTGTTGTGGAAGGTTGCTGGGCCTGAGGCAGACCGATTCCCCAGGGTCCAGCTCTACCAGCCTGTGGCCCTGCACGGACCCCACCGCCTCCTGTGCCATGTGCTGCTCCCATGTATGCTGAGACACTGACGCTGAGCCCTCTGCTCCCTCTCCCTAGAGACAGTCTGAAGGCAGCCCCCAAGTTGCAGAAAGCAGACTCCCCCAGCATCGACTATGCAGAGCTGCTGCAGCACTTTGAGAAGGTCCAGAAGAAGCACCTGGAAGTGAGGCACCAGCGGAGTGGGCGCGGGGACCACCTGGACCGGAGGGTTGTCCTCTGACAGGCCTGAGGAGAAGGGCCCAAGGAGTGGTCCCATGGAGCACTCGGGGTCTTCAGGCCCCTCCCTGCAGAGCCCAACGACCTGTCTCGGGCAGGGTTGGGCCTGGCCACCAGCCCAGGGCACGGTGTGGGGACAAAGGCTGTCCTCCCAAGCTCCTCTCAGCCCAGACCCCTGGGTCCCCAGCGCTGTCATCTGTACCCTGGCATTCAGAAAGAGCTGGCTTCCCACCACTGGGGGGCCACAGCCTCAGACACCACCCATTCTTTGGAATCGTCTCTTTCTAAAACCTTTTGTCAAAGAGCTTGACCTCCCTGACCTGCCAGAGCTCTGGCTTCTTGCTGGTATTTGTGCACATAGGAGAACACATACCTGTGTGCACATAGCCAGCACAGAGGTCCAAATGAATGATGCACCCCCCTGCCGAATAAAGAAATGACAGACAACTCTCAGCCGCACCTGCCTGCTCCTTCCCACTGGCATCTTCCCCAGGACCTTGCCTGTCCTGGAGACCTTGTCTCTTGGTGGCCCCAAGGAGTGCTGGCAGCACCCAGTGACTGGTCACTGTACACTCGCCTGATGGGTGTCGGCCTGGGGTCCACCTCACACCTCTAGGACCCACCCCTTCTAACTGAAGACCAACAACCACTGACCTGGCCTGGGACTCTGAACCCCTACCTTCCAAGACACCTCATCCAACTTTTCCATCCTGATTCCTGACTCCCCACCCTGGGGGCCATCGGACAGATGACCTGAGCCTCGGGAGTTTCTGAGTGGAAGGGCAGATCACGGAATGGCAGGCCCAGACCCGTGGGGGGAGATTTCCCAGTGCCCACTGCTGGATTTGGCTAAGTGAACCTCAGTGCACCCCATCTGTAGGCCAGGCTTCAGGAAGCCCCGGACTGCCCTAATGAGCTCCCAAGTTGCTCTGGGGGCGGGGGGCCGAAGTGGTGGAGGAGCTTGTGCTTTTTGCCGAGAGCCCCAGTGTCGCTCAGGGAGGGTGGGTTCCCTCCCTAGAGTCCCCAGGACAGCTGGCTGTACTCGCCAACGCCCCGGAAACAGGAGCGCGCCCCCACACACGTGTACCAGGCAGCAGGCACTGGGAGCGGCGGGGCACCTCTGCTCTGACGGGCCCTCAGGGCCAGCACATCACCATCCCCAAACGCTTAGCTTCTGGCACCCCATCCGGGAGTCATCGGCACCGCTTGGAAAAGGAGCCAGAGAACTTCTGGAGGAGGGAGCGAACTCGTCCTTGCCTGGGACCAAGCGGCCGGGGACACCCCGCGCCCCCCTGCGTGTTGTGTGTGGGTCTCGCGTAAGGCACGCGGAGGACCCCCGCCCGTCGGCTGAAAGCGCGGGAAGACCCCCGGGCGGCGCCGAGGCTGGAAGTCTGTGCTGAGCCCCCTCTCGGGCGGGCACTCAGCCGCCGGTCCCGTCCCGCGGGGGGGCCGGGGGAGCCCCGCCCAGCACCGCCGGGACCCGCCGACCCCCGCCCGCCCTACCAGCCCGGCCGCGCCGCTCTCGGATTTCAAAGCCGGGCCTGCGCTCGCCGGCCTCCCTACAGCCCCGCCCGCCGCGCCGGCCCCGCCCCGCCGCCGCGCGCACGTGACGCCCGGGCCTCGGCGGCTCCGATTACCGCCGCCGCTCCAGTGCCCGCGCCTC